TTTATTCTTTTTTTAACAGGGTAGGTTCAGTGATCCAAATGAAAAAGTTCATGATTCATAATAGACACATTTCAGGACATTTCTTGTAGTGTGTGGTATCAATATGATTCTGTCCTGTTTCACCAGTGAATGGTGTTTATTTTCAGTGACACCAAAACAAATTCCTGTCGGAGTGTTGCTGTTGGCAGAAGAAGCAAATGTGATGGTGCTATCACAGCACCACACTGGGCCCGATGCTAATTCCCTCTGCCAGAGCATCTGTGCCGAGCTTGGCCACTGGATCGGGATTTGGCAGGCAACGCTCGAGGCAGCAGGCCGTGTGTTTCTTAAGGCCGGAGTCTCCCCTGGGGTGACAGAGAGGGGACAGAACAGGGAACAGGTTTCTTTGCTCCAGCGCCAGCAGCACGGCTGTGTGTGAGCACGAGTGTCGATGTGTGCACTCACTTGCGGGAGATGGCGAAGTGGTGGGAACGCCTTCGAGTTCAATGCAGAGTGAAAAAGGCAGCAGCTGCTGAGTGAAACGCCAGCACTGTGCATTGTTGTCATATATTGTTCTTTGGAACAGTGAAGCTGTTCAGGCTGAGTCGGATACTCCTCACGGCCTCACCAACTTTTACAGCCTTCAAGCAAACTAATGGAAGCTTCCTGGAGTTATGTTATTGGTAAAACCACTGTATTAATATTAATTATCAATTAACATTATTAAGTCCGGTGCAATTGTCGATTTTCTTTATGTCTTTACAACATATGACATTCAGAAATTATAAAAATGACGTCTATCGTTTTTCCTTGTTAGCATCAATGACCAGTAACTTTTCACTTGGAAGCTTCCCTCTGAAAGGGCAATTATCAGATCATGATTTACAATATGTTACAGTGCTTCACTGTTAAAGGCTTCCTGAGAGTCTGTGCACTGCACAGAAACAGAGCTATTAACCTTTTTAGTCCTGGCTTCATACTCAACTGAATGAAATTATGCACTTAACATTCAAGGCTGAGCTGACGACAGTTTCTCCTGCCCATACGTCACAGTGTTATAGCACAGAGCGGTAATGGGATTGCATAATGTAAAAATGGCCCAATTAATACTAAAGTGGACAAAGTGAATGGTAACGTTTACGTCTGCATTTAGATTTACTGCTTGACATCTTAAGTGCTGCATTTTTGTTGGCTTTGTAGTAATAGGTTTGCAGTTTCAGGCCTAAGAAGATGCCTGCTCCAGTCTTTCTTTTCTGTCTTTTTGTTTAGTTTTGTTCTGCGATGGGGGGAAAACATGGATGAGCAGAACATCAGACATATGTAGGCGGTACCACAGATGTCTCGTACCAGGCTACATGGAGTTTGCTCAGGCAGAGATGGGAATTATGCGAAAATAAATACAATACATTTTCTTAGGAACAACACAATGTTGTCATATAGTATCTAACGTATAGAGCAAAAGTCATTAACCACCCCTCATTTTTATCATTTCTTTGATTGAATCTCTGAAAACTATCAAAGATAACAGCTTGACAGACAGAAAATATTATTATTTCAAAAGCACGGTGATTCCAAAAGAAGTATTAGTCAAAAGCTTGGCATATGTTTGTAGAGTGTGCAGGGTGACTTTAAATTTTTAATGAAACTGGACAAGTGGAGGAAAAAAGAAGTGGCAGACAAACAAAAAAACTATCTGCAGCAGGTGAACGGTATCTAAAAGTCATGTCCTTAAGAAACAGAAAATAAAAACCACAGGACTCAAAAGGGATGCTGTCAACAAGAAGCCATTCTTAAGGTAGGGAAAGGGGGGGAACGGTCGATTAATGCCAAATTATAACAGAACAGTTTTTGCCTTATATACTGTATTTCCACATGTGTTAGCACATTTTAATACATATTGCACCTATTTCCCGTTTTTATCCCAAAATATAAAGAAATGGGGGTTGTCCAAGTATTTGCATAGTACTGTATATAGATGGGTATATTTGGTACACTTTTTTCAGATTCGATGCAATCCAATGCAACAGCTGTGCAATAGATTCTACATTTGCAAAGCTTATACATTTTCACTCCACTGCTTAGTGAAAGGGCCAAAAATGTGACCACTGTTACTCAGCGAAGAAAGTCAAACAAACGTCAGAGGGTTGTTTGACCAGTCGTGTGATATCAGTGGTTGACTTTAGTTCCATTAAGTAGATTTGACCCCAATGCTGCAAAATAGGACAAAAAAGCCAAATGTGCAGTCTGTGCAGCAGGTATCATTCAGCTGTCAGTGCCTACTCAAATCAACATCTACACACCTATAGCATAGCTCAGACAGATGCTGTTGTTGGCTTGGGACCAATGGGAACAGGGTAGAATACAAAACAGGAGTACAAGAATGCTGCATATTGTCTGTGTGTGAGGCAGCTCGCACACAATGCGAGCCTTCATTTGGTTTGCTTCCATTGTGCCTGGGATTTCTTGGGTCCTGTCTCAGCTGAAGAACAGAAAAGTCTTCATTCAGCCTGCTAGGGCTTCTTCAGACCTGCCATTGTCGTGGCATCTCGTCTCTCTGTCGCAGTGTTTTCCTTTCCCTCGAGGATGATTGATACCTCTCCGCTGCAGAGACACGACTTTATAATTGTCGCTCAGCAGACTGTGCGGTTTGGAAGCTTCTGACTGATACCGGTGCCGCCTCACCTCTTCGTTTCCTGTTCTCAAAATAGGAAAGTCAGAGAGGATTGAGATTACTTACAAGGTCAATGAGGCTGTCTTGCTAAACGATACTGAATATGGTTGATGGTTTAATAATGCAGCCGCCTTGGACTTTCACTCAGACATTTCTCTCTTCCGTGCCTCCCATGGCTGTTTTAACCAACAAAACTTGGTGAATAGCTACTTTTACTCCTGAATGCACCCGAATAATTTAGGAGTGATGTCATTCGAAGTAGCAGCACTGTGAACACACTGTTTAATTTTGCCGTAAAAAGGAGAGCCAGATGATAAATGGTTGACCTCCAGACTGAGCCTGCTCTGAATGATTTAGTCAAAGCAGCCAAAGTGCCTCGAAAGAATGGCTCCTTTAGGGGGAAAAAACACAGACACACACACACAAAACTTTTCTTCTTCTTACGTTTTCTGAGGAAGTGCCTGAAAAAAGTCGTGACAGGCTTGTTAAAGCAGCCCCCCCTCCTCAACACACACCACCCTAACAATGCTACCCCGCCACTGTTCTCCTTCACTGTTGCTCTTCTGCTCTACTGGTTGATGACGACTAAGAGGATTTAGCTCAGCCTGCTGCAAAACCCTTGGTTCCCTTCAAGTTAGACTAAGAAGTGTAGGAAAATGTTCGCGTGAACTTCACTTTCAGTTAGATGGGATTTTCTTTTGTCGTTATTCTGAACGGAGATCACTTTTAGGTGCTCACGGGCCACTTCTGGTCACATGTTTGATTGCAACCTCGAAATTAATTAAAAAGCCAAAGTTCCTAAATGTGAATATTTGGTTGACACTTGGATCAAATAGAAGAGTAAGGGGCTCATAATACCCGCTATCCGGCTTACATCAAAATAATATCACATTAGCTGTTATAAGCCGCCGTGTCTGCCGGTCGTGCACGTCTCGATTTCAGACAAATTTTACACATCAGCACTGGAAGTGAAAACCCAAAGCAAAGACATACTTTTGCAACACCTCCCTCTGCATAATCTGTGAATCCCCGAGTTTCTGTACTGACATGTCATTAAATCTGTGGTAAAAATCAACATGATCATACACTTGTGTCTAATGTACACTGTATATAATGGCAGCTAATTCCCCACTCTAGAAAGCTACAGCTCTAAGAAGACTTATTAATATTTGCAGGAGTGCCTATTATGCAGGAGATGTCCATTAAAGTCAAAGTTAAAGAGTTCTAAAAGAAAAATGTCAACAGAAGTTTAAATGAAAGTCTTTCTGGCAACATGGCCTAAAGGCAGTTTTTTTTTTCTTCTTCTCTTCTACTAAATGTGTCAATGCTACAACCCACAAACGTTTCTACAGAGTCTCAGGAGGTAGAGTGGGTCGGTGGCTCGATCACGCCCGCAGCATCTTTGGGCAAAATACAGAGGATCCTTTCTGTTTCGAAAATGGGAAATTTTTGAAACGTGTTCAAACAAACATGGAAAAACAGTGTGACATTATTTTTCTGTGTTCATAAACCTATTAGTTTTGGCACGATCCCCAACACCACTGGGTCCAATGTAGCCCCAAACAATGACAGAGCTTCGACCAGACATTCACGGTCTCTCCTGACCTCCTCCACACACATATTGATAACAATTAATAGGTCAGGAGAGTTAAAATTTGGATTCAAAAGACCTGTTTCCATCATTGGAGTCCACTTCTTGTGTAATCTGGCATACGTCAGCCATAAAAATAGCTACTTGAAAGCCACTGAGACAATTTCTGATGAGGCTTTATTGAACACTAGCTGGATCAACTGAAGGGCGGGATGAATCTTGCACGTCTTGTGTTAAGTCTTTACTGGATTTTTTCCTATTCCTTTAATGACATGAATATTAGATACTGTTCATTTGCTGGAGATAGCTCTTTGGGAATCATCTTAGCGCAAAAATCTTATTTTTATGCCTGTCAAACTGTGTTATGTGTTGCATTTTTTTTAATAGTTAGGTGCAGTTTTTATGCTTGAATGAGTCACAGGTTATACGACTGATCTGAAAATAAGATAAAAAGCAGCCGGTGTTCAAAGAAAAACTTTGATAGACCATCAGAAAGCCTGGGGAACTATAAATTACAAGAAAATCTGACTCCATGGATGGAAACCTGAAGAAGTAAAGGGTGGCTCGAGACCTTTGCGCAGTTCTGTACGTGTTCTGTGCAATTGTTGGCCGTCATCTCTTTTCCTGAGCGTGTTTAGTAAACTCACCATCTGGGTTGTTGTGAATGACTCATGTGTTTGTGCTTATTAAAAACACCCCAGCAGTACTAAACTAAACATGTTTTCCTGCCTTCATCTCTTTCTGCGTGTCTGTGTTTAGATTGTGCAGTCTGACCCTGAAGAAGCTGGTCGTCATGAGGGAACTTGATAAAGAGCTGATTTCTGTGGTCATAGCAGTAAAAATCCAGGTACGCTCTACATACAGTTATAAACACAACACAACAGAATGTGGTTTGTGTGTCCTGGTTGAGGTAGTCATGTTGATTGATCTCATTTTGGTCATTTAAAGAAATGTTTTGTTTTAAATGGTAGTACGCATCATTTTAGGTCCTTCATATGCACACTCTATAAAGTGTTGCAAAGTAAGTAGCAGCTTTCAGAGAGAGTGCATACTTTCAGCACATAGTGCTCATTAAATGAAACACCAAAGGGTTAGTATTTTTTAAATTATTTAAATATTCATGTGTGTTTTTGCAGGGCTCCAAACGGATTTTAAGGTCCCATGAGATTGTGCTGCCACCCAGTGGGTCTGTGGAGACTGATCTGGCTCTCACCTTCTCGCTGCAGGTAAAGGAGAAAAAAAAAATCATCACCTTAAAAAAAACAACAATGAGAAAACTCAAACATATGTTCCCAAATAAACCATATGGGAACAGGTCTTAACTCTGCATTTGTTCTTCTTCTCCGAGGTAACATCTGACATTGTTAACTATGCGTGGGATGAGGTTTATTGCCATAGTTGCCATGGTAACACAGTTCCATTATAGATCATTTTGAGTATTGTAAGAAATGAAGAAATGTATTTTCCGCAGTGCTGAAAGCATGTATTAGTCTTTGAGCGTGCACAGATATTAAGCCTGGCAACAACAAAATCTGCATCAATTTGTGCACGCACATGCGTTCACTACAAGCTGGAGGCTGAGGCAAACTTTAATGGCGTGTCTCTGGACTATTTTCAGTCAGCTCGGTTTCAAAAACAAACCCACAGGGTGATGAAGAGGCAGATTAGGCGACTTTTAATTGAGGATGTTTGAATTGCTCGTAATGCAGTAATTAGCATTTGTCATTTTAAGTGAACAGTTCATCAGTTTATGATTATGTGCAGCTGACTCGAAGGAAAACTACAGCACCTCTCTAATGAAGGAACTGTCCCGCAGTGCTCCAGTTTGCCTCGCTGATGGTTTTGAACACCAGTGCTGGCTTTTTCTATGTATTTGTTTTTGTTTTTTTGTCTTTTTATGGACTTTGAGTGAAATATAGAATATCAACAGACCTTTGCTCAAATCTATACTCCAAGCTGTGGGTCCAAGTATGAATGAGTAACTTACACTTTTTCCTCCTTGTTTTCCTGTTTCTCTCACACTCAGTACCCACACTTCTTAAAGCGGGAAGGAAACAAGCTGCAGATCATGCTCCAGCGGCGGAAAAGATACAAGAACCGAACCATTTTAGGCTACAAGACTCTCGCGATTGGATCTATCGATATGTCAGAGGTACAGTCTTGCCCTGCATATATGCTCATGTTCTTCGCCTCAAGTGTTAACAGTGGGTTCAGGAGCTCTGCTGCACTTGTGTTCTGAAGACTCTCTTTAATAGCAGAAAAGTGCCGGTCATTTTTCTACCATCGTGCCAAAACACTTAAAACACTTAAAAATAAGTAATAATTGAAAGCCTTAAATTATCCTTAACATGTCCCTCTGTGTGGATACAGTTCTTTTTTTCCCCCGTTTCAACCCAGATTATGATTTTTATTAAATAAATACACATTTTATTGTTGTTCAAATTAGAGGCTTATAAGTTCTAATAAAAGTATCTTCTGAATTAGGGCTCATAACCCAAAGAGATGTTGGGCAGCTTTTTGTGCTCATCCAAAAACCAAGTGACTGATTATGAGCCCTTGGCACAGACTTGTAAAAGATCCTGTCCTATATAGACTCTCAAACTTAAAGAAACACACAGCGACCTCAAATCTCAAACCACAAGTCAAGCTGTTGGTGTTGTTGTTGCGTTGGTTGTCTGTGGTCATTCTCTTTGCAGTGGTTTGGCTTTTACTTTAATAAATTTTGTGTCTTTGTTGTTTGCAAGTCATTTTGTGCATTGTGTTGTTGTTTGTAGGCATTTTTTAGTTTCTTTTTGTGTTTATGGTGAGAATTTATAGTCAGTTTTGGATTTCTTAGCAGTTTTTTTTAAATAATTTTGAGTTTCTTTGCTGCTGCTTTGAATTATGCTGAGGCTGAGTACAGTAATATATCATATCATTGTCATGCCTTGTACCTCGTTGTGGTAGTGAACAGCTGCTTCACAGACTCTGTACTGAATGTTGTCCAGCAGGCCTGTTTTTTTCCCCCCATCTTTTCAAAATCCAAATAAAAAGAAGGTAACTTCTCTTTGAAAATTTTCTGTAAACACCATGAAGAAAATTGACAGTTTAATAGCAATAACACAGGTTTAATGCATTTATTCTCTTATACTTTTAGTAGATGAATCTTTTATGTTTTAGGTGCAGTTCCATGATCTTTGCATAAGATATTAAGCATTTGTAAAATCATCAAACATATGTACAGCGGCATCAGAAAGACGCTAAAAATGGAGGAAAAAATAGAAACAGGCTTTTTGTGTTTTAAGAAAACCTTGAAGACACAAATGAATGGCTTGATTTCACTGCACATGATGCTGATCCACCAAGCAGTTCCCATTTGGCTGACAAAGCTCAGCGGAGCTTATTAAGGTCACATCTCGGCAGCTGAGAGAAGGATAAAAAAAGCATTAATGCAGCTGAGATTGGGGGGGGGAAAGAAGAAGCACAGAGCTGTACTGACTCGAAAGAAAGAAACAGTCCCTACAGTTTCAGCTAAAGGATTTAAATCTGTGAACAAAACCTACCACATAGGATACAGTGTAAGCTGCTGCAAGGGGATGTATGCAGTCTCGTGAGACTGTTGGAACAGAAAGGATCGGTCTGATTTTCAGCAGTATTGTCCTTAAGTGACCTGGGTTTGTTCTCTGCTTAGGTGCTGTGGAAGAAGGCATTTGACCTTCAGCTGTTTGTGTGAAGCCTCTTAGGTAGTGTAGTACCTGCAGGAGGTGACTGAACTGGGCATTTCCTCTCTCGCTCATGATGTTTGGCCTCTCGCAGGTGATGCAGCACCCGACAGAGGGAGGCCAGGTTCTGCCTCTCTGCAGCAACCAGAAAGACATGCTTGGAAAAGTGGCAGAGATCTGGATCTTTTCCCTGTCCAGTCAGCCAATAGACCATGAGGAGGCAGCCCTGCAGGGGGGACAGAAGATCAAATGCTCTGGTATGCTTTGCTTCTCATTACCCCTGATGCTCTGAGGCAAAAACAGCGTGACGCCATCACAATCACCTAATATGCTTGATGAGTTAAACAGAGTGGCGTTTCACAGGGTTTAGAGTGTTTTTTTCCCCCACTTCTCTTTCTCTAATCACCATGAAAGCAATAAAATCCAGGTAGCATGCAACATCATGCATATATTTAGAAACTGGCTGGTTGTCAAATTTTAAAGGGGTCATCGAAAAATGTATGAAGCATCTTCTACACTCAGTCTTTAATCTGCCTGCTGTCTCCAGATAACTACTCAGAAGAAGAGTACGAGAGCTTCTCCTCAGAGCAGGAGGCCAGCGATGACGCCGTGCAGCCACAGGTGATTTTATTTATTTGTTTATTTTTAAAGGCTTTTGCAGTTTGGGGGGATAACATGTTTTACATTATTCAGGTCAGTCTGTATTCTCTCTGTATTGGTTTAAACATGTGTCCTTCATGTTTTCAGGATCTCGAGGATGACGAGTATGACGTGAGAAAACCAAAGAAGCAAAGGAGGTCGATTGTAAGGACTCCCTCCATCACCAGAGTAAGAGATGTGAAACAGCAACTGCAGATCTACTCTGAACATCCTGCCTGCAGGGAAACAAAGCTTTCTCTGTGTCAGTGAATGTGTGGTTAATTCTCCATCCAACCACAGCGTGACAACTTAAATTTTAAGAGTTTGGCCTGATGAAGAAAGCCGTGTTAATTAGAGAGCTTTAGATTAATTTTGTCGCCATTTTCACCTTTCTGCACTCTAACAGCTTAACCAAGGTTAATTGGCTTCTCTTGTAAAGATAATTTAGTTTCTTTCTTTATCTTGGCACGTGTCCTGAACCGCAAAAAAATTATTCCAGATTCTGTTGAAGCTCTGTTGCTGCACTGGGCCTGGGAGTCCAGTTGACTCGTGGGTTTTACTTTTCATTTGTTTATACCTGAGGTAAAACTACTACATAGTGCAAGAAGGTTCTGGATGCAGAAAACTGCTATAAAAAAAGCGCCACACCTATAATTAGCTGCTTTTCAACAAACCTAAACAGCAGATGATGGATGTTATAAGGCTCAGCAAGCCAGAGCAGCAGATGAAAGCCTCAGAAAGCAGATGGAGGATGATGTTGCTTGATTATTGATTTACATGAGCACACACTGCAAAATCGATACCCGGCCAACACTGCAAATGTATCTACTGCTGGTAAAATTACTAAGTTGGGCTCAGCAGTGGCTGCAGCTGTTTTTTGTACTGGCCGAAGTAATTCAGAACTAGGTCACAATCTGACTTGCGGTTCTGCGTTTGTTCTCCTGTGTTTTAGCAGCAGAACTTTAAGCAGCGTGTGGTGGCTCTTCTGAAGAGGTTCAGAGTTTCAGATGAGGTGAGTGTCACTGTCTTGCGTTGGTCTGGTCGTCTGACTGTGGAGCTGCAGAGCCATCGGATATGTGATGTTTTTGTATTTGTGAAGGTGTTGGACTCGGAGCAAGATCCTGCAGAGCCACCTCCCGATGTGGAGGAGGAGGATGTGGACCTGGACAGCGTGGAGTTTGAGAACCCCAGCGACAGCGGCCCAGACATGGATGATGACGACAGCGTCCTCAGCACGCCGAAACCTAAACTCAAGTGAGTGACACACTTATCCATGGTGTTCATGGATTTCCTGCTGGTTAGACTACATGGACTGTATATAGCTTCTGTATGTAGCTTCTGGTCTTTCTAATCGCCAGCAGGGGGCAGTCCTCTTGTTGCAGACATATCTTTTATTGTATATAAATCTGTAAGAAAAGCACCTTTTGCTCACTTTAATCTGTGACCTCAATTGAGTTTATGTTCTCCTTTGTACGGTGGCCCTGAGAGGCCAAAAGGACTGCAACTTAAGAAAACTCCAGCAATAAGAAAAATGCTGCAAAAGCACACAAAACACAACGCAAATGGGAAAAACGACAACGGAAATAGGAAAAAACAAAACAGAAATAGGAAAAAACAGATTTCCAAAAGCACAAGGGAAGTGTTTCTGGGGAGACAATAACCCGACGGACCGGTTGCAGGAACCAAAATATGCTAATAATTGCGCTGGGAGACACTTAAAAGAAGTGGAGGATCTATTGGTTTTGTGAGGAAAGAAAAGATGAGAGGTAAGTTAGTGTTAGCCTAACTATTAGCCTAAAAATCCGTCATCAGTATTATATGAATCGTGATAAAACACACCTACTATGTTTTGGGTTCCTGCAACTGGTCCGTCGGGTTATTGTCTCCCCAGAAACACTTCCCTGGAGTTTTCTTAAGTTGCAGTCTGTTCGGCCTCTCAGAGCCACCGTACCTTTACAAGTTTCAGCTCTTTGTTAATACAGCACAATGTTTATTTTGTAAATAGTTTTCCCGTTTACAAGATATTCCCTCAAATATTCCTTAAAATAGACAACAAAGGAGGGGCGCGCTTTAGGATGTGGCTTCTTTGTGACTGACAAGGTGTGAATCTGCGATTTACTTGGTGTATCAGTCAAATCTGGCTTCTCTGTGTAAGTCAGCAAACCAGTTCACAGCAGCTGCGTCTATTTTACCTGCTCTAATGTAACGTTGGCAGAAATTCTTTTTAATTTGTTACAGTTGGTCCATATTTTTCCAAAAATATTCTGAATAGTGAAAATGTTTAAAAACGATTTATAAAACGGTCCAAAAGACTCATGTGTTTATGTGTGGGAAACAGGTGCAGAGTTTATTGGGACATGTGCAAACTTACTTGGAAATATAATATGCAAGTCAAAACAGAGTTTGCACAACTCAAACGTTCAGATTTGGATTCCTCACGCCATAAGACTGATTTTCAGTCCAGTTCTTGTGTAATTTGGCATAGATCAGCCGTTTCGCCCTGTTTCTCTTTCTTAGGAATGGATGCTTGACAGACTGAACTCATTTCTGGCCGTGTACTTACCCCCTCACTCAGAGGAGACTGCCAAGTCAATAAACCTCAGCAGGTATATTTACATGATGTGAAACAAATGTATTTTTCTTCTGTTTCAGGCCATATTTCGAGGGTCTCTCCCTCTCGAGCTCTCAGACTGAGATTGGCAGCATCCACAGCACTCGGAGCCACAGGGAGCCTCCCAGCCCGGTGAGACCCCCGACACACGAGCACATTGTGAAACACCAAATGGCCTCCAGTAGTTTCTGCTTATCTTCCACATTAATTGATTTCAAATCTCCTCCTTCACTTAAACAAATGAGTTAAGTAACATGTGAGTGAACAGCTGGAGGCAGGTGAGCTGCTCTGATGGCTTCTCCGGCTCAGGTTTTTCCTTCAGCCTTCAGGTTTATCCCTCTGGTTGCCTGTTTGCGAAACTGTAGGGCTTCAGTTGAACTAACAATTCATGATGATATGTCGAGTCAGACAATGCTTTACTTTCTCTGAAATTAAAGTTTCCCAGAGTCCATCAAATCCAGGTGATGTTTATTATTCTTCCCACAACCTCACTCCAGGTTGACCCAGATAAAACCAAGTGCACCGGGGATGACGGCGTGTCTGATAACATCCCTTTTGTGAGTGTGAATCTAAGCTTTTTCAGATTGATGCACTGACTCAATATTGTATTTTTATTATATGTAAGAAAGGCTAAAGAAGATCTCCTGTGTTCTCTGTAAGACTGTCAATAAAACCTGTAATCCAAAGACGATCTTTAAGGCATTTAAGATGTGAAAAAGTGTTGAAGAGCAAGAATGCAGAAACACATCTGCCAGCTCTTAGCTCATAAACACTGTTCCAGTTTTTCTCTGCTTCTGTTTCCCCTCAGGAGCAGCCAGAGGCGGTGACCCCAACCACAGAGCTGGAGATGGACAACATGGACACGTTTTTAGAGAGACTCCCACCGAGTGGCAAAATGACCAAAACAGAGTCTCTTATCATTTCATCCAACAGGTAAATATACATAATTTAATGATAACACACTTATTTCAAGCCTGTAAAGGCAACGCTGTAAATGCGCACGCATGATTCTTCATGTCTGAATGCAAAGAATTGTTTAACTTGTCTCTCTCTTCCTTTGCTTTTTTTGCTTTTAGGCAGGAACCAAAGTTGGCAGGGAGGCGAGGCAGGAGCACATCGCTGAAGGAGCGCCAACCCAGCAGGCCCCAGAATGAGAGGGCCAACAGCCTGGACAATGAGCGGTCTCTGGATACCAGATGCCACCTACAGGTAGGAGGGTAGAAGTGCAGGGGAAACCAAAAACAAACCAAAAACTATGAGTTTTCTTGTATTCACAGGCGTGGGAAAGATTTTCTGAATATTAAAGATTTTGGCATTTAGCCTTTATTTGACAGCGGGGAAAAATAGACAAGAAAGGAGGGAAAACGTGTCGAGGGAAGACACATAACAAAGGGTAGCAGGGTGAACTCAAAACCAGGCCGCCTAATTTCAGCCAGAAAGCATAAGCCAGTGCACAGGAATGTTAAAACAGTTAATATGAAGATAATTCTCAATTCAGGCAAGAGAGTCACTGTTTTGGCAGCATATATGTATAGGACAGAGGTGCTTATTGTAATGACCGTCCGTGTGTTAATGTATTCATAGACATGTCTAATAGATTGTGCCGGAAAAGAAAAGTATGAGATCTTACATTAACATGAACCTAACATTAAGGTTTACCTATTTTACTTCCCTAGATTCCCAGAAAGACAGTGTATGACCAACTTAACCACATCCTGGTATCTGATAACCACCTCCCTGATAGTATCATCCTCATCAACACGTCTGACTGGCAGGGCCAGGTAAGCAGCAGGCCTTTTCAAAGATAAAGGTCTTACTTACTTGTATACAATTTTCATTTAGGTCATTTAATTAATTAAATTTTCTTTGACCAGTAGTTTTTAAGTGTTTAAAGATTTACAGAGCATTAATTATTGGTTTATAATGGAGTCCCTCCTCTCTCAGTATCTTTCAGACATGCTGCAAAACCACCATCTGCCAGTGGTCTGCACCTGCACCACGGCTGACATCCAAGCTGCGTTCAACACCATCGTCTCCCGCATACAGAGATTGTAAGTCTGCCTCCCATGCTTTATGAAAGCACGCACACTCTGGATTAATGTTGCAGTAATGCAGAGCTGCGCTGCTCGTTTTTCTCCCTAGCTGCAACTGTAACTCCCAGACGCCTGTTCCTATAAAGATAGCGGTGGCCGGAGCGCAGCACTACCTCAGTGCAGTTCTGAGGCTTTTTGTGGACCACCTGTCCCACAAAACTCCTGACTGGCTCGGCTACATGAGGTTCCTCATCATCCCTCTAGGTTTGTGACGGCGTAGCTCTCGTCTCTTCTGTTGTTAGGTGCACCAGTGAGGTCATGTTTTTGTTTAGTGGGATTAGGCAAAAACTACTTTGATGATTTTCTTTAAAGTTGGTACAGAGGTCGAGCACGGACAAACGGAGGCCCATTAAACTTCAGGTGGCGCTTACAGCAGAAGCAAATGGTTAGCATGGGTGGAGGACTGGGGGCTAGAGGTGGAGCTAGACTGTTAAGCAAGATTATCCATGTAACCATCACGTACGCTATATGGACAGAAGCGTTGGGCCACCTACACATTACACCGACAGGAACTGCGAGGCTATACTGTGAAGCTCCCGGCACACAGTTTTTGTGCTGATGTTAATGCCAGAGCTGCTTTAGAGCTCTGCAGTTAGAGATTCAGCAGAGCTTGGGCGACGTTTACACACTCTACACCTCAGCACTCTGCAGTTGAGCTGAGCTGCTGTGGTTCCTAAATGCTTCCACTTTTCTTCAAGAGGAGGCGCAGCTTCCCTCGAAGGGCTATACTAAAACGTTGATGTTTTATGTTTTTATAACAACATGCTGACCTATGTGCTAGAAGCATTACATACTAAAATGATGTAATTTATTATCTTCATATCCATATGATTGGAGCAGAATCGGCTGAAATCTTTGCCTTCTATAAGCTGTAAACACTTTTTAAAGATATATTCATTTGTGACTGCAAACTGAAACTACTGCTACTTACTTGGAAAAAATTACTTTATATGATTTCTCACATAAGTTATTTTATTGGGTTTTAATGGGTTTTACCCATTTTCTGTCAGTCAGTCAGAATCAGCTGTGAAGCTGCTAAACAGGAAGTCATACAAGGCTCCTTTCTCAGTTCTCAGTTTGTGCCTTCTCGATTCCTTTCCTCACATCTTAGTCCCTTCAACCAGGGAAGAAAGAAGGAGAGAGGAGCTGAGGCGACACACATTTATCAAAATCCTTAGACATCCTTGCTTCAAAGTCTGCTGTATCCCTGATATAACTGTGTTTGTGACTTTTTTATTTTTAAGGCTACTTCTAATAAAAATCAAATAGTTGACCAATTTATAAATAACTCAAACACTTTATGAATAGACATAAATTATTCTGCTCCTTCCCTGGTTTATATATCCCAGCTGTGTGCAACTCTGTTATACGCTGCAAAAATACTTCTGCAGAGGATGTAAGTGTGCATCCTCAATTATATCTCCTCAGGCAAGCCTCCTCTGTCCTCCGACCTCTGACCTCCAGATAGATGTTGGGATCCAGTAACGTCTCTTAGCATGGCATACAGAGGCACAGGCAGGAGGACTGAGGACAGAGGAGACAAGGAGGCACAAATGACAGAAATGAGAAAGCGACGTGCACTCAGGGCCTCACTGTAAGGAAGCAAAAGCAACTTTGTGGGATTTGACCACTAAAGCTAAAAACTTTCATGAGCCGTCTGGATATTTCAAATTTTCTGTTTGTTTTTTTTCATATTCGCACATTTGTGAAAAGCAGACCAGCAGCTTTTTCAGAGCTCTTGTGCTCTACTAATTTTTCAATATTTAAAAGTGCTGTATTTGTGTAAATTGCAGTGCTGCTTGTTAATATTAGTTTTAACCTTGTTGTAGTGGAAACGCGGTGGTGATATTGATGTCAAACTGCAGCAGCTCTGCACTGTTTTTTTTAAATCCTGACTCTCTCTCTTTTCCATTGGCTTTAGGTGCACATCCAGTCTCCAAGTATCTCGGCACTATTGACTATCGATACAACAGTTTGTTCCAAGATGCTGCCTGGAGGGACCTGTTTCACAAATCAGAGGCTCCAGTTGTTGGTGGGCTGTCACGCTTTTCTTTGAACAACATAACACTCATTTGTTCAAAGTTTAAAGAGCTCTTAAAGAGCCACTGAAATTATTTTAACCAGAAACATAATTATGATGTTACATGCTCACTAGCCACTTTATTAGGTACACCTATTTGCTTGTTAACACAAATATCTAATAAGGCATTAACCTGCTGAAGCTCAAAATTTAAACTCAAAATGAGGGAGAAAGGGGATTTAAGGGACTTTGAATGTGTCATGGTCGATGATGCCATCTACTTCCCATGCAACCATCTCTAGGGTTTTACAGAGAATGGTCAGGGAAAAGAAAAAACAACATCCAGTGAGTGGCAGATTTTCTTTGAGCTGCCTGGACAGTAACACTGAAGAGCATCTCTAAATGCACAACACGCCAGACACTGAAGAAGAGCACACCAGATGCTTCTCCTGTCAACTCAGAACATTAAACCGAGGCTACAGTTTGCACCAAAGTTGGACAACAGACGAATGCTGCATGTCTGGTGGTCTCAATTTAAGCTCCTACGTTCGCTCAGATCATCTCAAAGGAGTTTATTGAACATGACAGAAAGTTTTCTATAGTCAAATGGCTTCCACAGTCACTGGATCATAGTCCAGTGAAGCACCTGTGAGATGTGGGGGAACTGGACTTTCTCATCAGGGGTGTGTAGCCCACATATCAAAATCTCCAGCACCTTGTCGAATCTATAACAAGTATTATGGTAATTCTGAAGGCAACAGTTGACCCATACCGGTACCAGTAAAGTATACCTAATAAAATGGCTGGTGAATGAATACTGTATGTTGCTGACTCTGTAATCAGGTACTAATCACCGTCTCCTTTACAGTCCAGGAGAACCCAGATGTAGTTTCCAGGGTAACACAGTATATGGTGGGAGCTAACGGAGCTCACCAGCTCCCTATCGCAGAGGCCATGCTCACCTACAAGCAGAAGAGGTACGTGCTTTTTTTCTCAGGATTTCACCCTCATTTAATGACAAAATAAAGTTACAATCTAGTTGTTATCAGAGATGCATGGAAGCCTTTGTTTTAGGCGTTACAGTCAAAAAATCGGAGTCTATGTTTGCTCTAACATATGCTTCTAATGCAGAGCTTTCAGTATTTTTAAACGGGGTTTCAAATGTTTATTTAAAGAGAAATCCACAGTGATAAGTTACTAGAATCTCCCTGAACATTACAAATTGAATTAAAAATACCTGCACTGCATATATTATTACGTATATGCTGTAAGTATGCTTCTGTGGTGCAAGTTACTCACACGCACAAGAAGGTTTTAAAGCAAACATTAACTACGGAGAGTAGATTATTAGACATTTGCTAGTAGTAAACAGCCAGCTTAGCTCAGGCGAAGATTAAAGGCCACAGAAATGAGGTGCACCTTCTGGTTTCCATTCATCCCCTTTTTGAAAGAAATACTGAGTGAATAGTTTCACTAATGTTGCAGGGTTTGTCTGTTTGTGTGGGGGTGGGTGGTGTGTCTTCTAAGCATCACTGTGTTTCCATCACTGTGTGAGTGAATAACATGATTTATCTTTGTGTTGTATGTTTTCTTTCTTTGAAGGAAAAAGAGCTTTCATTTTGATTTTGCAGTAAGGTATTGTGAACGATAGTCTGTTTCTCATGTAGCCTGGTGATTCATGCGCTTTCTCTGTGGTTCACGCATTTCTCCTTGAACCCTCTCATTGTTTTTTGGATCTTGTCGCTTTAACAGCTGGCTAAATTATCAAAAGTTTCAATGTAAGCTTTCCAGAGTAAAGCTGCAACGACACAGAAGCAGTATGAGATGTTTGAAGCTGCACCAGATGAAGTTTTGATTTTGACGTTTTTATGAAATCAGCCAGTGGGATGCAAAGGAGCTTTATACACTGATTACATTTCTCAGCATATAAAGATATTTAAAAATAAATAAAATAACCACATTAGTTAGGATGTTGTGTAAAATATATATGTAACAGGAGCACGGTGACCACTGTGTGTGTTTTCTATAAGTTTCAAAGTTAAATGTTTCCCCATTTCTCAGTTCAGATCCTCCTTTGTTGCAATTCTCCCTTCTGGCAGCATAGGTTGTTCAAAAACATGTGTATCTCATTCAGCATTGGAGCTTCCACACATGTGCATATTTCCCTATGTCTGGTGCACTAATGTGATAGCATCTCTACTAATATGCATGCTCTCGTTTGAGCTCTGAACTCGTACAAAGCCAGATGGGTCCCCCTCTTGTTTGGTCCAGAGGACGTCAATTTAAAAAAGGAATTCAAGTTTTGATTGGTCAGGCCAAAAGACTTTCTGGTACATATATCAAATAAGCACTGCCTCATGTATTTTATTAACATGTAGAGGTTTAACGGTTCTTCAGAACTGCTTTTCACACCATGTGGTTATTTCCACTGCTGTGCATGTTTGTTTTTAATGCAGTGCCATCTGAAGATAATTTTTTTAGCCTTGCATCTTGATATTTCCCCTGATTCTTGGAATCAGATGTTTAAAAACCCTAAATTCTTTAATTAATTGACCAACTTTAGTGGTAGATGTTGGAATAGCTGTTTACTTTCTCATTCTTTAGTTGCCCACTGTTTTTGCAAACAAGGCTGTTGTGGTAGAGAGAGTAATAGCTTCGTAGTGCAGTGTTTAACACAACAGTCAAAAGTCATTTTGTAGTAATAGAGAGGGGACGATTTATATATCATTTCTATCTGCTCATAAAGAAACAACTATTGGGTGATTAGTAAACTGAGCTGAGCGCATCTCTGTGCTAAATGTGCTAAAAGCTAACGAAAACTGTTTTAAATGGATGTTACAGCAGTAATAACCCTGCACATAATCCTCTGTCAAACCAGGAATTGGCATGGTTTGGTATGGATTTAATAACCATGATTTAATATTTTAATTAGTGAACTTTTAATGTGCAGGAAGTAGATTCGGTTCCTTTTGATTGGACCAATGTTTTAATAATTAAATTTTATCAGCATCCACTGAAGAGCTTTTAGTGCTGCATGTATGCAGGTGTTTGCTGAAACAGAACAATTCATTCTCAGCGCTGAGCCGCGGTAATTTTCAAGGAACAATTGTGCTGTTAAAGTGGCAGGTGAACATTTACAATCAGCCTCTTTTGTTTCTCCCTCCCTGCTGTTTCATGCTTCCCGGCCAATCATGTCTGTCTGTTATTTATCTACTAAGATGTATGAGATGTGGATACTGTCAGTAAAAATAGGGTGTTATGTTGATGCACTCTTCTTTTATTTAATTATGAGCTGCAACCACCAACAACATTGTTTGGTTGAATCCAGTTTAATATCGGACAAACATATTTATACATGTACACACAAATTACACATACAAGTCTGTAGGGCTTTAATAGCTAAACAGGCATTTTATTGTATGAATATTATTTATTTCTAAATTATTTTAATAGGCTGTGTCTTGGAGAGGTTCAGGTGATTTGATTATTTTTATTTTATTTAATGGAATAGCTCAATAAGCACAACTATATATCCATTTATTTTGGAGAGCATCACTCTTTCTATGCGCTTGTCTGTAGGTAAATATCCATGCACAAATTTGAGGTAAATCTTTAGACGATCCTGCTGGATGTTCAATAAATAATTTTAATAACTTACTGGAAATTGTGCAAATTTGTTTCAGTGAGAATTATTAAGAAAATATTTGGAGATTATTGAGATCATTGAGAAGTGCCACTCTTGGACATGGAAAAAGCTTATTTTAATTAGAGGAGTATAAATGCTTCTATAAAGTGCATGTTCATAATTCAGCTGTCTTCAACTGTTTACATGGGTTGATGTGCATGTGCATCTTTCAGATATCAAACATTAAATTTAATGAATGGATGAAGTGGCTCAAACAATACTCACGTACTCTGTCGTGGTCCATACCAGGCAGACATCAGGCTCTCTCTCTCTCCGGCTGCTTTGAAGTGATTACAGCAGAGATGTGTTTGTGTTGGAAAAACAAACTGTTACCTACTGTAGGCTGTCTCTCTCTCTCCCCCCCTCCTCTTTAGTCTCTCTGTTTCTTCCCTGGGGGGGCGATGGCAGGTTTCTTCAAGGCAAGAGCAACGACCTTTCGTGTCGCTGAACATCTTTACATTCAGAACACGTAGACCTACAGAACAGTAGAACTTTATTCCGGCTATTTTTCTGGGTATTTCCGGGAAAATAGTTCACACAGTAGAAGGCTTGTTAAATGTTGTAATGCACTACCTCTGACAGGTAGTGCATGGAGCCAAAAGGTTTTGGACTTAGGTTGGTGCTCTTCCTTTTCATCGACTCCTTTATGACTCTAGTTGACTTGTTCCCCTGATGGACTTGCTGCCTTGCTGAACGCCCTCATGACTCTGTTTGGGTCGATCCAGTCTGGTGCTGCAGTGATTTGATGGCTTTGCTCGAGGCCCCAAATCGGCCAAAAGCTTGCATGTTTTGCTCTCTGCTTCTCCAACTCCAATCAGAGGCCTGCCGTCAGGAAGTGAACCCGTTTTAGTGGAGGTTAAATCCAAGCAGCATGTGCAGCTGAGCTTTGCATAGTCCCCTATGCAAGAGAGGACTCAGTTATTTCCAGATGTAAAACAATGGAAATCAGCATCACCCAAAGTCATTATGCACAAGCTACTAATGACTAGATTTCAATGTTACTAACTTTAGATTTACATTTCTTCAAATTATAATCTTAATTTCTTTTAGTACTCTTTGTAGCCAAGTTTAGGAAATGCTTGTAGCATGTATTCCCTTTAGAGCTGGCTACTTTATTTTGATCAAACTCTAATTTCTCTCCTTGTGCCTTCTTGTTACCTGCACTCGTTACAGCCCAGATGAGGATTCATGTCAGAAATTCATTCCTTTTATCGGGGTAAGTATTATCTCTCTCTCTGCCTAAATACACTGATCAGGCATAGCATTATGACCACTGACAGGTGACGTTTACCTCTTTATCGTGACACACGTTAGTCAGTGGGATATATCAGGGAGCGTGTGAACATGTTGTCCTAAAAGTTGATGTGTTAGAAGCAGGAAAGGGCTTGAGGATTTGTGCGAGTTTGACAAAAGGTCAAATTGTGAAAGCTAGACGACTGGGTCTCCAAAACTACAGCTCTTGTGGGGTTTTCTTGGTCTGCAGTGGTCAGTGTCTATCAAAAGCAATCCAAAGAAGGAACAGTGGTGAACCAGCAACAGGGTCATGGGTGGCCAAGGCTCACTGATGCACATGGGGAGTGAAGGCTGGCCCGTGTGGTCCAACAGACCGCAAATGAGCTACTGTTGTGGAAAAACTTGATGCTGGTTCTGATTGAAAGGTGTCAAAGATTACACAGTGCATCGTATTTTTGTTATGCGTGAGGCTGCATAGCTTCTGACCAGTCAGGGTGTCCTTGCTGACCCCGTCTACCGGTGAAAGCACCAACAATGGCCAAGTGAATAACAAAAGATGATCACGGAGCAATGGAGGAAGGTCTGGTCTAATGAATCACAGTTTCTCTTGCATCACTGGGTGTGTATGCATCGCTTACCTGGGGAACATCTTTCTGTGAATAGAAGGTAACCAGGCGAAGGCAATGCAATGCTTTGGGCAATGTTTTGCTGGGAAACCTTGGCTTCTCCCATTCATGTGCATGTTACTTGGACAGGTACCACACCTAGCATTGCTGCAGAGGATGCACCCTCTTTCATGGAAATTGCATTCCCATCCTCTTTCAGCAGGATAATGTGCCCTGCCACAGAGAAAAAATTTGATCAGGGATGATTTGAGGAGCACAGAAGCGAGTTTAAGGTGTTGACTTGACGTCCAGATTCCCCAGATGTCAATCCAAGTGAGCATCTGTGTGATGTGCAGGACAAATAAGTGTAGGTGTGAGGGATCTGTTGCTAACATCTAGGTGACAGATACCACAGCATGCCTCCAGGGGTCTACTGGAGTCCATGCCTCGAGTACTCAGGGCTGTTGTAGCAGTAAATGAGTGACCAGCACAATTTTAACCAGGCAGTCACAGTGTTATGTCTGATTGATGCAAATGCTGCACTTTTCAGTTTATCTGTGGGTTTTTGTGGCACTTTGAAGTGGTGCTTAAAGTGATAAACCTTTGCTTTTCCATTCTGTTCTTCAGATGGTGAAAGTTGGCATTGTGGAGCAAACAGCTGCAACATCAGGTACACCACTGTTTGGCCACTTTGTGGTTGTTGAATATTAAAAGAGATGTTTTGTCATAGGCTGCATGTTAAACCTTTATATAAGACTTCATTAGACAGCTTTACTGAATGAAGTGAGCAGCATTGCCATATCTACATTCCTGTTGATCCTTATGAGCTTATTAGATGTAAATATATTCTCAAGGCATTAATAATCAATTCCAGAAGGACTTGTTGATTTATACTGTAGCAATTAATCCTGTGAGCCTGATGTTATATCATCTTTGTTATGCTGAGACTTTGAATAAATAAAAAGCTTCATGTTAGTGTTGCAAGTCAACAAGAAGACATTTTTGTGTTTAAAGTCATTTAAATGGAGAGATGGCTAGTTTACTGATTGTAGGTATGATGCAATCTAACAATATTTCAAAAGAAATTGCAAGAAATTGTTATTCCTGATTCTGCTTGCCTCCTTTCACAGCTCTTTTTTGCTTTTTCCTTTCTCAGGAGACTCTGATGATGCAGCGCCTCTGGGCTCCTCGCTGCTCTCCTCCACCCCTCCACAGGTATCACCCGCTTTCAAAGAGGCATCGCCCACGCCGCCCTCGTCTCCCTCTGTCAACACCAGCTTTTGTGCTTACAGGTAAGATGTGCTGCCTGCTGGAGGGAAATTACATCAAGTTCTTTTTTACTAATGTCCTTGTAAATCAAAGCAACGTCTCTGCACAAAGTTTAAAATTAAATGTTTGAGCCAGAAGATATTTCATCTTCTGAGACTCTATACAAAGTCTAAGAGCAAAACTGGCACATTGCAAGAAGCTTTATGCAACGCAGTCTCTTTGAGGGGTCCCAGCTTTCAGATTCAAAGCTACTGATGCAAATTCTTTACAAAAATCTGTAACGTTTTACGACTTGTACGTGTATTCCACAGCTGTATATTTGTCTTTCATTTGTTTCATTTAAGCACATCTTTCCTTTAAAGTCTGAAGTTTCACATATCAGGATATAAAAATCTGGTTTTTTGCAGCTTCTAAAATGTAGAAATATTTGAGTGTGTCATTGTTTATTTAACAAAGAATCAAAAGAGAGAAGCAGTGTGAATAAACTAGAGAGATTAATTATTTTAAAAATGAATACCATGTTCGTGTACTTATATAGTGCTGTATTTATGTACATTTTCCTAAAGACAATGACTGCGTGAATTCCTTCTATACGATACTGCTCAATTCTCTATATTATCTCATATTGTTTTTATGTAATTTATGCAATAAAGTTTAAAATTAAAGCCTTTTCACAGTATCAACATTGCTGTTTTCCTGCAGCTCTGGTGGTCAGGTGGAGCTCATGGGGCTTCAGGTGGACTACTGGGTGGCTCCGACAGAAAGGAAGAAAGATGTGGAGAAGCGAGACTCCTCCTCCAAAAACACTCTCAAGTGCAATTTCCGCTCGCTGCAGGTCAGCCGGCTGCCACTGGGGGGCGCAGAGCCAAGCTCCCAGCCCACCATGTCTATGACTGTGGTGACCAAGGAGAAGAATAAGAAGGGTATGTTGTATGACTGTGTTGTCACGGTGCGCTGAGGCAGTCGTGGGAAGCCCAAAGGTAGGGGTGTCAAACTAATTTTGCATGATCTTACAGTAAGGGGGCCGGTCCTGTGAAACTCCGCCTTTCTGTCAGTATAAAGAAGTTTAACTACATAATATCTTAGTATAAAAAAAGCACAATTTCAAACATAAATCTCGGGTTTTCTACATGAAAAAGAAAAAGCTGCTGTGGCAAAGAAAGAGATCTGTGAGCATGACTCCTCGGGCTTAAACTGAGAAATAAATGTGCAAAATCACAGAAAATAGTAGCTCGTTGTTCAGACCGCCTTGTAACTATAAAACAGAAATATTTTGTTAATTCCCAGAAAATGTCATATTCTTTTTTGTAGTCCCTTTGTATGAAAATGAATTTCTGTAGTTGATAGAACACATTTTTTGTTTTGTTTTTTACTATAATTTAATTGTTTATCTATTGATTAATTACTTTGGTGTAATATGAAAGCCATGGGAGAGGTCTTAATCAGGTTGAAAATACATTTAAAAGTCCAAAATGTATGCCCTTCTTCACTCATTCCAGAGCCATCTAGTGGCCCGAATTAGAGGCTTCACTGGGCCAATTCTGGCCCCCGGGCCTCATGTTTGACACCCCTACCCTAAGGGTAGACTTTGGTTGTGAATGAACCCTGAAAAAGTCAATAAACTCTATAGTAGTCATTAAGAAAACAGTGTAAAATGATTAAATCCAGTCTTGCAAAAATGTTTTCACATACGACTCCTGAGAGACCAGAAAGATTCTGAGATCACAGTGTGCATCTCTGTTGTTCCCTTCTACCAGTCATGTTCCTGCCAAAAAAGAGCAAAGACAAGGAGGTGGAGTCAAAGAGTCAAGTGATTGAGGGCATCAGCCGCCTCATCTGCACTGCCAAGCACCAGCAGACCATGCTGAGAGGTAATTTTCTGCACAGACCTCCTGCTCGGTTTACTCTTCTTGCTCAGCGGCCCAGACATCCTCAGACAGACCACAGCTGCTTCTATTTTGACTGATTACTCACATTTTAAAAAGATCAGATCAGGAGTTGTTCCTCGCCGACCACTTCGTACTAATCAATATCTAATCAGTCAATCACATGGTGGCATTTAGGCATGTAGACATGTTCAAGATGACAAGATGGCATGGTTGTCGGTGCTGGACAAGCTGGTCTGAGTATTCCACAAGCTGCCGATCTACTGATCCGCATAGAAACAGCTGCGTTTTCAAAGATGCCCGTGTAGGTGTGGACTTAGCGTAAAAGAGTTAGTAGTGTATTACTACCTGATTGAATTTTTGAGGTGTGAAATAAACCGCAATGGAGTTTTACAACAAAATATGGGTGTGTGTGGCTGGAGGATGTTTGTGTGCGGGGGGGGTGTCCCCAACTCTGGGAACCTAATCAATGCAAAAATCTATCTGGTCTATTGTGGAACTACTTTATTAACTTCTGTTGTAGCTCCAATAAGCAACTTTGCAAAGTTTAAAGTTTAAAATTTGCATGAGCCGTGGAACTGAGACCAATAACCACTTTCATACTGAGAGCACTTTTTGTTCCGTGTACTGCGGTGTGGCAGTTAATATGTACATTTGAAAGCAGTAACACCTGTTACATCATGAAGAGGACCGTGTGAATTTCAGCGAAAAGCAATGTTTATTTTTATGGGAGGGGCGTTCATATCTGGTGATTCAGATCTTAAGACAAGAGGAATACTTGTTCAGCATTTATTCCCAAACTTTAGCGTCACTCATATCAACAGGAAATGAATCCATAAAAATTGTGAGCTATTTGAAGAGTAGTACTGGATAATGCAAAATAATGCATGCCTTGCACATACCTAGAAGGAGTATTTGTTATTCAAGGACCCTCGTTAAGAGTTTAAAAAAATCCATTTCATAATGAACTCCAAAGAAGACCACGACCATGTGCTTTTACACATTCACTCAGCTGCTAACTCAAAACCCTAAAGTGCCATGAATGGGTGAAGTGTGTCACCTCTTGCTAGATTTGCAGGTAGAAATACTTCGGCGTGTAACCGTTTGTCTCTTCCTCCGCAGTGCTGATCGACGGCGTCGAGTGGAACGATGTCAAGTTTTTCCAGCTGGCTGCTCAGTGGTCCTCACACGTCAAACATTTCCCCATTGGGATCTTTGGACACACGAAAGGCCCTTATTAGCAGCACCTAAGAGACTGAAACATGGAGGACAGCAAACCCACCCTCCCTGCCTCCCTCCCTCGTGCCAAGAGCTCTTAACCCCCTTCCTCCTACCTTCGCCTGCACAGTTCCTCCTATTCTGCTGTCTTAATTTAAACTCCTGCTTTCCACACTTGCATTGTCCCCGTTATTTAATCTTTTGCGTGTTTTTTGTTTTGTTTTGTTTTGTTTTTTAATTTTCTATTTATGTAAACACATCTCAAGGCAGAGCTGCTATGAGAATATTTCTTTACTTGGCTTTTTAAAACAAAAATCCTGCTGACGTTTTATAGACTTTTGAGGAAAAAACATTAATTGAATAACAACTAGAAATGACTTCTAACCTTTAACATAATGAGTGCCCTGGTTTCACTTGGCCATCAGTTTTTTCGTTGTTGTTTCTTTCCTTTTCAAATTCGATGAGGATGGTTTTAAACACTTGGCCAGCACAATTAATCACAGCTATATTATAAAAAAGAGCCATCTGCCTCATAATAAAGGTCATATTTTCTAATTACAGAGAAGAAATTTTGGATTTACAGCCACAGAGACTGTTGGCAGTTCATTGTCTTAAGCCAGAGGGAGAAAGGATAAACGGCCTCCGTGAAGAAGTGTAATGTGCAATAGACGAAATATTGTGTGAATGCGATTCTGCTAGAAGATTTCACACTGCTCTTAGTGGTGATTTTCACTCTTTGCATCCCTTCTCTTCTTTACTTTACCCTCCTGATAAACTAGTTCAAGGTTTGAAGAGAAGCTTTTTATATTAGAATTACGAGCGCAGTTAACCACAAACTTACAGGAAAAACTTTGGGAAATGCTATCTTGTTGAGAATTGAATGAGAAGATTAATACCTCTTATTTTTTATGGTAAATTTGAAGCTATAGTTGTTTACAGTAGAGTAAATAGGTACCCTTGTTCTTTTGAAAAGTAAAAGAATAACTACTTACCAGCACTTCTGAACCTCACTTAATTAAAACCTTATATCTTGTATGTTTAACCCCTATAGAAACTGAGCCAACCTAACCGTTTCTATGTTTAGTAGAGTAAGAATGGGGCATTGTGGTTTTATAGCTGGCACATAATGCACCCTCCCTCCATCACACACAAAATAAATAAATCAGGTTTTATACATTCTATATAAAGCTAAGCTAATGGTTAATGACTGACCCGGCTCTAAACAAACGGAACAAAATCTTCTTACCAGCATCTCCCGATCTCACCGTCTATCAAACATCCACATAGAAAATGAGACAGGGTAGCTATTGCTCTGTTTGCAGCGCTGAGCTACGCTAATTGGCTGCTTACACATCTGGTATCAACTACAGTACTGTGCAAAGGTTTTGAGACACCTCTCATTTCTTTATACTTTGCAGGAAAATTAGAAATATGTGCAGTGAGTTATTGAAAAACGAAGCACAAAACAGAATATGCATCATTCTAATGAGCTTGAAAGTCAATATTTGGTATGACTATCTTTGTTCTTCAACACATCCTGAACTCTGTTAGGCAAGATTTCTTGTCATTTATTTAAGTAGTTTTCAGGAATAGTTCTCCACGACATTCATAGCTCTTCTCTAGATGTAGACATTGCTTTCCAGATGATATTGCACGGTGGATTAAAATCTGACTGTACTTTTTCTGTGTTCATAATTCCCTCCATTTTTCCATCAACAACTGGCTGAAATGCAGCCCCAAACCATGACAGAGCCTCCACTATGTTTTACAGATGGCTGTAGACACTCACAGTTGTACCTCTTTGCTCTCTCTTTGTACATATTTGAGAGTATTTATTACTCCATATGACCTGTTGCCACAGATTTTTTGTGTAGTTCTTGTGTAATTTGACTTACTTCAGCCTTTTCTCCCTGTTTCCCTTCTTTATAAATCACTTCGTGACAACCACCGTTCTAGCATTTCTGATGATAAGCAAACAGCAGATGGATAAACTCACTTTTTATAGATTCAGCTAAAGAAAATTCGAAAAAAATATGTGTTTATGACAGGCTGACAGTAACACAGGGCCTCAAAAAATTTAAAACTTCTTGTTTTTATGTTCTGACACAACACTGGTTCATCCCTTAAATTTTGATTTTATTTTTTTTCATGCTTGAATGATTCATAGTTCAGTTTTTGGTACCACAAAAAAACGTTCCTCTGAAAATAATCAAGCGCAAGGGCTGAACTGAACAGGAGTTACAAACCACCCAATGTCCAAAGAAAAACTTTGAAAACCCTTCAGAAATTCTGGAGAACTATTTCTCAATACCACTTAAAAAACATTCCAAGAAAATCTGTCTCCTTGGAAGCAAAATATAAAGACACGAGGGGTAGTTCAAGACTTTTGCACAGTACTGTACTTGAGAAAGTTGGAGCCCAATGTCCACTGTGTTTCCTAAGAGTTATCTGAATGAATCAGACTCTGCACAAGTGTGGCACACATCAGCTCAGCCAAAATTAGGAAATGCCCCACTGATTATTGGAGAAAAATTGACCACTTCCTGTTTTGTTTTAGTTTTTTGTTTTGTTTTTTACTATAATAAAATCAATAAATAATCTATTGAAGCCATGGGAGAGGTCATTATCAGGACAAAAATACATATATGCCCTTTACATTTATACCCTTCTTCACTCATTCCAGAGCCATCCAGTGGCCCGAATTAGAGCCTTCGCTGGGCTGATTCTGGCCCCCGGGCCTCATGTTCGACACCCCTACCCTAAGGGTAGATTTTGGTTGTGAATGAACCCTGAAAAAGTCAATAAACTCTATAGTAGTCATTAAGAAAACAGTGTAAAAATGATTAAATCCAGTCTTGCAAAAATGTTTTCACACACGACTCCTTAATGAAACCGGTATCACTCTTTTAAATGTGTCTCTTAATGAAGCCATGTATGACACAAGAATCCTACTTAAATTAAACAGAAGTCATCACAGTTCTTTGGTGTGTATGCAGCAGCCATAATCTGCAGGCAGGTCAAATACCAGTGCACAACGCTCATGATTAATCATATTTAGGCATGGTGCAGACTAATGTCACCTCATCTCAAAATGTGTGGTGCTGTGGCAGTGGTACTGATCTTCTCATTTAACTCGGCAAAGAAAGCAAAACAGCATATCTCTCGAAATGCCAAACTGTCCTTTAAGATCAGCATACAAGGTGAAACAAAAGCGGAGAGTGTATTACATTACATTCATGAATTCTTCCTCTTTGAGCCCCACACTCCTCCATACACTCCATATGTTCCGCTAAAAGCAAATGTTACTTTTGCCAAAGGAAACGCTCAAGAACTGCAGCTCACTCATTACTTGTGTGGTATTATAGATGACTTCATAATGTAGAGGTGAATGTATTGACGGTACCTTAATGTAAAGCACTTTTAAATGTTTGTCCAGTATAGATTAGTATGTTACACCCTGGGAACCTGCAGGTACTGTTGGCTGTCTGCCGTTATGTCTGAGCAAAGTAAAACAAGCATCCGTGTCTCCTCAGTGCTGTAAAAGCAAAGTTCATGCTCGGCTTGAGGCCTCGTCAAACTATTTTAGATTTTAGTTACATGTTCTGTGAGGTAAGCCTAGAAAGTGTATGTGGATTACGTCTGTAGATTTTGCTCCATCTTTAATTCACTTTTAAGACTGAGTAGTATTTTGCTTAAATTTCTTTCAGTAGCAGTGTTATCATAACCTTTACCAGTTTCTTGATAAGTGCCTAAATTGCTTAATTTTGACAAATCAACTGAAGTAAATATCCCTCGCTGAAATGGTGCTGATTCGAGCCCGGACAACAACAAAATATCTCAGTACAGCACATTGATTTCGCAACACAAACACGTGCGGTGTGCATCGGTGGGAAGTAAAGTCACGCTTGACCAGCTGATTATCAGTAGTTTAAAGAACACTACGGTCCATTCATGGCGAGCATACATTTGTTGTTTCTCTGTTTAGAGAATATTTTAGATGTTTTTTTTCCATGTTGTCTCAGAAAAGGCTTGTTGAAAGTTCCCTAAAGACTACCACTGTAATCCCAACAACTGGGAGTAATAAAACTACTATACACACTAAAATGTAGTTTTCATGTGTGGGTTACTTGACTTGGTTGGTGCTCCAGAACTGATAAATTTAAAATAAGAATATGTGATTACAAACTTTATATATCTCGTTCGCCCTACTTCTTAAGAGGACCTATAAAAGGCTGCGACTGTATATATAAATGTCCATGTGATAAAGCTTACGTGGACTTTTTGCACCATCTTGTGGTACAAACTGGTTTTAAACAAAAGTACCGTCCAGCCCTAGTTCAACTTTCCTCGATATCTTCAACACAATACGCAGGTTTTTTTTTTTCAGATTTAGCATTGCATTCACAATAACTAGCTAATCATAATACATTTGATTTCTAGGTGCTGTTCATGACACTCAAGGATGCCTTAAAAGCCATTAAAAAACAAAATCATGGTATAGAAACCAGTCTATGGAAGATAAAAATAAAATTAGACAGAAAAGGAAAACCTTGTGTTTTAAGGCTGGCCTTGCGAGGCGATCTACGTTTTGTATGTGGTGCATAGGGGGCCACTCAGCTGAAAGCTCTTAAACCCATGGTGGTCAGGTGGGGAGATACTACAATGAGGGTAGAGGAGGTGGATCTGAGAGTACAGCCAGGGACGGTGATGTGTAGAAGATCATAGAGATGTATAGGTGTGAGATTGTGGAGAGACTTGAAAGCAAGGAGCGGAATCTTAAGATTAATGCAATATTACACAGGAACAGGAGGAGGACAGGAGTAATAAGGAAGGAAGGGATTCTGGTAATGCCACGAGCAGAAGAAGTCTATGAAGAAGTTTGTATGGTAAGGTTAGATGGAGAGGACAGAATTATAATAATCAATATGAGATGCAACCAGAGCATGTACAAGAATAGCACAACTGTTAGCTATAAAGAATGGGCACAGCTAACAAATCCTGCGTAGGTGGAAATAATGCAGAAAGAGCTATATTACTAATGTGTTTCAAAATCTAAGGTGGGAAAGATGACACTTTTGTCACTGTTTATTTAATAAAAACAACTATTTAAAGGCATCTACCTGTTAATCAAACCTGATAATTTTTATTAACAGACCAACTACCAAATAAACTGAGGGGCTGTTTTCAACATCTATAATAAACTCAAAACCAAGAATTCATTATACTTCTCAAAAATGTGAAGATCTACATATCTGGTGAGGACCATGTGAATGAAAGTGCAAGAAAAAATTTGGTGATCTTTATGGCACCAGTCTGTTAGTAGCAGTGGTGGAAAAAGTGCAAAGTGATACAAATACAAAGAACTACAGGGAGTGTGTGCATAAGAATTGGGAACAAATCCAGGAAAGACCTGGCACATCTGACCCTTTAGTTGATCCATCTACTGTTCACTGAAGCTTCATCGGAAATGAGAAACGATCTGGGTGGAAGGGTGGCTGTCAAGAAGCCATTCATAAGGAAGGAAAATAGGGAGGAAAAGCTGGGGTATGCCAATGATATATGCATGTGTTTCTAAAGCTCAGCTCCTGGGAGTCCTTCCCTAGGACTGTACTGTTCTTTACAGAGACCTGGAATCTGCTGGATCTATTTGTCCAACTTGGGGTTTACAGCTTCAAACACTCCTATTACCACTGAGATCACTTTGGACTTCACCTTCCACATACGCCAGTTGTTCCGTTTCCTGTACTTCTCTTTATAACCCTCTATTTACTCCTCCTTTCTGTATGCTGGGATTGTTACGTCTTCTGCTCCTTGTCAAGCACCACTGCGTCTTGCTGGTTGGCCGGCAGCTGCTTGTCTATCTGGAATATAACTACAGAAAACTACACAGTTTTGATCTATAACAAGGTATTGCATAATAAATAAATACATAAATATACTGATCAATTTGGCAATAAGAAGAAAGTAATATACTTCATACCTATACGGGAATAGATAAACCATTATAGTGTAAGTACCAGAATAAGAAGCACTAAAAAGTAAATACAAAGATCTCAATTAATTAATTGCCACTCTCTTGTGTAACATTTGCATTAATTATTAACCTGTAATAAGAATAATAAGAATAATTAGCGGCATTTGTGCGTCACATGGATAGCAAACTAAAATATTAAAATGGTACAAACTTGACAGAGGGTAGTTCAATGGTAAAATGTGAGCTGAATGGTGTGAATTAAAGGGACTGGAGTGCTGGCTGGTGGTGCCGAGTGACAGCCAGGGGGAGAGAGAGGTCCTCCTCCACCGGAGCAGGAAGCTGCTGCTGGGACTGGCGAGAAGACAGAGGAGGTGCGAAATAACGTCGACATCAGCAGGCAGCGGGGTATCCACCATAATGTAGACCCAACAGTGCGCCACATCTTCCCCACAGTGTGAGCAGATGTCCCGGGTGCAGTAGTGAAAACAAAAGCAGAGCGGGCCGTATTCGTGCACGGTGAAAATGAAGGAGCTGAAGGGCTGCGCTATGCGCTCCTCACTGGGCTTTCTGTCCCGCAGAGAGCTGACTGGGCAGCCGCTCCTGAAGGAGGAATTCCAGAGGCGCAGGCTGGCAGGCTGCACCAGCCTCTACAAGAAGGATATGCTCGGACATTTCGGCTGTGTCAACGCCATTGAGTTCTCCAACAACGGCGGGGAATGGCTGGTGTCTGGTAAGTTGTCAAACCCTCCTCTTCTTCCTCTAGCTTGCACTGTTTTAATTTGTTAGCATGCTAACGCTAGCTAGCCAGGCAGTCAGCTGTAACCGTAGCCGATGCTAAGTTAGCCTAGCTTTTCTTGATGGCTAGTGGGAGTCAAACAGTCAGAGGGGGCAGCAGCAGCAGCTACCTCGGACCGGTCCCATCTTCTGTCAGTGCAGAAGACGACCCATGTGGGCTCTGAAGTGGACATTTTTACCTCTCATGAGTCAAATCATGGCGACCTCATGGAAGCTGTTAGTGTCCTGAGAGGATTAAAAACAATCATCTGGCCTAGCGTGACAGCCTGTGGCTTGCCATTTTGAGTCTACAGTTTACATTGCACCGTGGGATTCCAGCATGTTAGCATGAGTCTGCCTTATGACACGCATCTGTTTATCTGCCACAATAAAAAGTAAAAGATGCATACAACACAAACTTGGCTAGAGTTAATTAGTATGTAAGGTTCTTGCATGAAATGCAAATCACTGGTGTTTTAGTCTTGCTGGTATGCAGGCGGTGATATAGAGACTTGAAGGGAGTTGGGAGACAAATGTATCTCATTGCAATCCTGTGAATTTGGATAAGGAAAATATTGTAACAGGGAAACAGTGGTTCCAGGACAAGCAAGGTCCAGTCATGTTGTTGGGGTCGCATTCAGGTTTTCTCTGGCAAAATGTGATTAGTGTTAAGGGTAAATATGTAGTTCATGTCTACTTAGTTTAGTACCCCAAACACTTTCTGTTGCAAGTCTCAATACATTCATACAATACTGCCATGTATGTCTAAGCACTTTGTTTGGTCTGCTAAACAACATATAGAAAATATTTTTATTTTATCTAGTATTTTTGCTCAAAGTTCTGTCACTATTCTGTTACTTGTTGCACTGATTTCACGAAGAGTTTCTTTCCTGAAAGCTCATTTATCTGGAACCCGTGAGAAAGCGTTGTTTTTTAAAAGTTTGGTCGTAATGCTCCATCTTTACTTGCAGGTGGAGATGACCGTCGGGTGCTTCTGTGGCACATGGAGAAAGCCATCCACGGCCGCTCCAAGCCTGTGAAGCTGAAGGGGGAGCACCTCTCTAACATCTTCTGTCTGGCCTTTGACAGCACCAACAAAAAAGTCTTCTCTGGTGGTAAGAAAAAGACAAGTACTATCTGATCCCTGCTGGACGTAACTACTCTTTTTAACCTTTGAGCTGGAAGTGTTTGTGGGACGTGTACAGCAAACAGAATTTAAAAAGTATTCAGACAGATAAAATGTTTAATAGAGACTTTGATGTGCACTGTGGAAAAGGCTGAGCTTGATTCACTGCACATGAACGATGTTGAGTATAAATAATAGATGGGGGGAAAAAATTAAATTAGCTGCAGGAGTTGCTGATTTCAGTCTGGCTGCTATGCAAAAGAGTCCAGAGACTCTAAAGTTCTGTCAGGCTTTACTGAGCTATTATTTGAGAATAAAATAACTATAGTATCTAACACACCCTTTAAAAGAAAACTACAGTTGTGGTCAGAAGTTTACATCCAGTCATTATGGGCATGAACTTCATGGTAATTTTGAGCTTTTAATTGTTTCTTTGAACTGTTCTTTACCTCAGTGAAATGATTGTACAGCATACATCTTACACTTACTTAAATCTTTTAGTAAGTGGTGCTGAAGGTTCTACAATCACTGATCAAGATTGATTACAACTAGTAGTTTGTCTTTGCAGCATAAAAAAGGAATTATTTCACAGCACTCACTGGACTGACCAATACTCAGAGCAGTGTTAAAGTCCAAGGAACTCTGTGCTGATCTAAGAAGGTCTCTTCCAGTCATTTCTAAACAACTGAAGACTCTAATCATCAGTTCAAAAACTGAGTTTTACATCGTCATGGGTGGGTGTCGACTAAGAAAGAAGGCCCTACTCCAAAATGGACTTATTCACGCTTGAGTGAACTTTCCAGCTGCCCACATGGACAAGCCAGATGCCTTCTACAGAATAATAGCTAGTTATTTTTGGATAATTAAAAGTAAGGCTTTGAAACCTGTGTAAAGTACACCAGCTCTAAAGCATGATGGTGGTAGCATTATTCTCTGAGGTTGTTTTGCTCCTACTGGTAGTAAATTGCCAAAGTGGATTGAATAATGAAGGAGGGCCACCTCCAAATCCTTCAACTTCACTTCAGATCAACAGCTAGTTGGTTGAAATCTGTGCACAATTGGTTGTTCCAACAGGATAATGATCCCTAAACATGCATCAAAACTGGTTATGGAGTAAATTAAACATGCTAACATTAAACTTCTGGAATAACCATTCCAAGGTGTCTGTGCCAGGAATCCAACCAGTTAAAATGAACTCTACCAATTCTACCAAGGAGAGTGGTTAAATAT